CTTTCTTTCTTTCTTTCTTTCTTTCTTTCTTTCTTTCTTTCTTTCTTTCTTTCTTTCTTTCTTTCTTTCTTTCTTCTAAACCTTTAGTTTAGATGCAAAAGGATTGGCTAGGAGCATGATATTTTGGGTAAGATCCAAACCTGTAGTGACTTGGTACTGTGGCTGACCCTTTGGGGTAAGAAGAACATTTTGTCTATGTGCACAGAGATTTTAAATAACGTCTCACTGTACTGGATCTAGGTGCTGATTGGGAGCCAGAGAACTGGAATGCAATAAAGGGGGCTGTGGGATTTCTTTTTTCAGCTTCTTGATAACCAGTGTGGGTGATCAGAAGCATAGTTTGTGACTGGTCAGTGACTTCAACTTCAGTGTCAGAGGGGTAGCTGTTTTAGTCTGGATCTGTAAAAAGCAACAGAAAGTCCTGTGGCACCTTTAAGACTAACAGATGTATTGGAGCATAAGCTGCATCTGATGAAGTGGGTATTCACCCACGAAAGCTTATGCTCCAATACATCTGTTAGTCTTAAAGATGCCACAGGACTCTTAGTTGCTTTCAACTTCAGTGTTAACCACCAGTTTTGGGAGCATCTGCTCTCCCTTTTTCAGACTACCCTGACCTTGGCATTTTCAGTCAGGACTGCCCCAGGCACACCAGGTCACACTAAGCATTGAAGTTAAATTAATAGAATGTTTGTTTTCTTATGACAAAGTCTTATGAAATCAACTTAACTCCTTTGTTCTTTCATCTGAGCAGGGTTTCCAGTTTCCCAACCTAATATGGTGTCCCAGCTGGAACAAGGGGAAGAGTCATGGGTCCCAGACCTCCAGGGTTCAGAGGAAAGAGAGATCCTGAGAGCTTCCTGCACAGGTGAGAAAACATTAAAGCAACTCAGAATCTGTAAGTGCCTGAAGGAAACATCTGGGATGCCCTACAAAGACCTTGGGAGGTCTCTCGGTTCATTATTGTTCCTCCCAGGGGTTGTATCCTTGGGGTAATTATAGCTCATGGCTTCCTGTAGATCCTAGCAGACACCAGGCAGTAGCTTGCTCACTTCCCCCTGTGAATTTGGATGGGATGTGAAGGCTGAATTGATCCTCCTCCTCTCCCCTGTTTGGGGGAGTTCAGTTCGTGATTTTTATTTGACCTCTCTCCAACACTTGTTTTGGTTTTGCCTTCCCCTTTCCATCCCTGTTTGAGGTTTCTGTCTCTATCACAGCAGGTGATGCAATGCTTTGTGAGAAGGAGGAGCAGAATTCTCAGCAGGAAAATATTGAGCAAGTAGAAAAACACAGAGCATTATCGCAACAATCAAAAAGGAATGTGTCCAGGGATTATGAGCAGGGAAAATCCTGTGAAATTCAGCACAGACCAGAAACAGAGCAGGGAAACCAGCCAGGGGAGAAAGCGGGTAAATTTATTTCCTGTTGGGGAACTCAAAAGGGCCTCAAGGAAACCACAGCACAGCAGGAAATCCTCAGGAGAAAGAGAAAAAATACATGCACTGAGTGTGGGAAAAACTTCATTCACAAATCAAGCCTTTCTGTTCATCTGAGAATCCACACGGGGGAGAGGCCCTACGAATGCCGTGAGTGTGGAAAATGCTTCACTAGCAGCTCATACCTTTCTAAACATCAGAGGATCCACACAGATGACAGGCCCTACGAATGCAGAGAGTGTGGGAAAAGATTCACTCGCAGATCAGGCCTTTTTCAACATCAGAGAATCCACACAAGGGAGAGGCCCTATGAATGCAGTGAGTGTGGGAAAACCTTCAATCGCAACTCGCATCTTCTTAGTCATCAGAGAATCCACACAGGAGAGAGGCCCTACGGATGCAGTGAATGTGGGAAAAACTTCACTCAAAGATCAAGCCTTTCTCACCATCAGAAAATCCACACAGGGGAGAGGCCCTACGAATGCAGTGAATGTGGGGAAAGCTTCACTCAAAGATCAAGCCTTTCTCACCATCAGAAAATCCACACAGGGGAGAGGCCCTACGAATGTGGTGAGTGTGAAAAATGCTTCACTAGCAGCTCAGCCCTTTCTATTCATCAGAGAATCCACACAGGGGAGAGGCCCTACAAATGCAGTGAGTGTGGGGAAAGCTTCACTCACAGATCTGGCCTTTTTCACCATCAGAGAATCCACACAGGGGAGAGGCCCTATGAATGTCATGAGTGTGGGAAAACCTTCAATCGCAGCTCGCACCTTATTAGTCATCAGAAAATCCACACAGGGGAGAGGCCCTATAAATGCAGAGAGTGTGGGAAAAACTTCATTCACCGATCAGCTCTTTCTGTTCATCAGAGAATCCACACAGGGGAGAGACCCTATGAATGCAGTGAGTGTGGGAAAACCTTCAGTCAATGCTCAAGCCTTATTAGTCATCAGAGTATCCACACAGGAGAGAGGCCCTATGAATGCAGTGAGTGTGGGAAAAACTTCACTCGCAGATCAGCCCTTTGTGAACATCAGAGACTCCACACAGGGGAGAGGCCCTATGAATGCAGTGAGTGTGGAAAAAGCTTCACTCAAAGATCAGCCCTTTCTGTTCATCAAAGAATCCACACAGGTGAGAGGCCCTACAAATGCAGTGAGTGTGGAAAATGCTTCACTAGCAGCTCAGACCTTTCTAAACATCAGCGAGTCCACACAGGGGAGAGGCCCTATGAATGCAGTGAGTGTGGGAATACTTTCTCTTGGCACTCAGCCCATGTTAGCCATCAGAGAATCTGCAAGGGAGATCAACACCATAAAAACCTCTAGGGCTATCACTACCTTTTTTTTCTTTAATACTTTTCCTGATTCCCACATAGTAACTTTTAAAGCTGTTTGAACTGTTTTCAGTACGGTTAACCCTCAGCTTGTCCAGATGAGTGGCCCATTCTTGCCTTCTGCAGTTTGCCCTCTCTTGAGGTGGACCTATTTGTTCTTTGTATTGTCCCACGAGTAATTTGAGTGTACTCTTCCTATCAGGAACCAGGGAGCATCACATGTATACCATTCCTCCTATTGCAAAGTTATTGTTAGAGCCACCAATGATGCAGATTTTATCATTGCCAGTCGTTCTCACGTTGCCCTGGGTTTTGCTAAAGAGCAGCTATTATTGGGAACCTATCAAATTATATGTAAATGAAGAGGAGCAGGGGCAGCCTCTCTGACACTGGAGGGAGACAGGGTAACTCAGAGATTACCTTCTTCCCCATCACTGCAGAACTCTTACCTTTTGCCTGAGCCATGTAGAGTTTATATTCATCACATTCTATCCATCTGCTTCTCAAACTGTCATGTGATGAAGCATTCTCCATTGTCTGTGCTTGGAGATGATGCTTTGACTTCTTTAATCCTATATCAGAGTCATTATGACTAGAGAGGAAAGTGTCAAAGACCTGGGAGGGGAATTCAAATGGATCCCAAACACAGTGTGGTTATTGGGAGTTTAAATCCCAAGATCCATCTATTGGTAAAGCCACTTCTGGCAAGGGGGCTGTTTCCCCCTCATTATGTGGGTGCTCTGATACTAAAAAAAATTCTAAATAACATAACTGACTATTGAGACAGTGCTGAGTGAAGCAGGTTTGAATGGATCAGAGGAGAATGTGATGGGAGAATCTCTTGTCCTGATTCTGAAAACTCAGATGTAACCTGCTCTGGAATTTCACTTGACACTTCCATTGTCATGTATTCTATCTCTCTGTGATGTGGGTTTCTATCTTTCCTGAAGGCTGTTTGGTCACCTAATTGGATATTAGTTCAGTTTCATAGGATGTAGCTCAGATTTATTGGAGAATTTAAGACACATGACCATTTGCTAAAGTCCATCATTTCTCACTTCAGCTTTGCTTTTTCTCCATCCCTCCTTGATGACATGGAGAAAGCTCTGTCAACAAGAGAGAACTCTCCAAGTTACTGGATATGCTAACAAAGAAACAGCAGTGATTTAAAATTTCCATTCGGAAATGGTGAACAACAGCCGAACCCCAACTAACTGAAGGAAGTGTATATGAGCACAGTGTAGTTCGCTTGTTTAAGGCAATATTGTCTCAGATGATCTGGGGAGAGAATTCCATATTAAGTGATTTTGAAGTAGGGAAAATGCCCATGATTTGGTTCCCAAAGCATTTGTAACCCAGGCCCTACAGAAGGTCTGTCCTAGCTAATCCTATGATATGGGAAATGCTGCCCTTCGTGGCACAGATGTTGAGAAAATAGAAACGGGGTTTTTGTTGAATTCACCATTTGTAGGTGCTAAAAACGTGTATAAAATTAAATCAGTGTTGAAAATGTAATAGCTTCAGAAAAATAGATATTCTTGAATAGAAACGCCAGCTCTGGTAACTAATAGAGATTCTGATCCAGGCCTGGATCCAGTCCCTTGCCTGGACCTGTGCCACCGAATTAAAGAAAAGCTGGGCATGTTTCAGAAAGCCATTTCTCACTAACACTGCTGAGATTTTGAGTGATTTTGTAAAGGATTCCACTTCAGAGAAGTGTAAATTTACCCTAACCAAGGCCAAAGATTTGGAAAGAACTGGGGTTGAAAGAGTCCACACCCAGTTCTTGGCTTCCACCCCCGTAAAGGAAGTTATAGTGACCAATGACCCAAGGAAAATTGTTTGTACCACTCCACTTCCTAGTTCAGTGTCCCTGATGACAGTTCCAAAGGATGCCAGGGTTAGATAGAGAACAAACATCCTTTATCGTTTGGATCCAAACCCTGGAAAAACACTCTGGGTCCATTCACCAAGGAGATCCCTAACAACCAGTGATGCTTCATCAAAGGCAATCACTGCAATAGACTGAAGTGTGAGGTGAGAATCTACTTAGATAGGGAAAGATAACTATTAAAAAGTGTAGGTTGCGTTTTGTAATTTTGTTCTGTTGGGTAACGGTTGGTTTCCATCATGCATGTTTGTTTCTGTTTAAATTTCTATCCCTTTTTAAATAAATTTCCATTTGTTCGATAAGTGTACTGAAGTGCTGTGTGTGAAACAGGAGCAGTGGTCTACAGTAAAACTGGTAACCTGGGATATACCATTGCTTCAGGAAAAGAGGATCTGGGATTTCTCTGAGTATCTGGTGATCGGGGCTGGACGCCAGAGGGGGACACATTGAAGGAACTCAGGGCTTAGGGTGCCTCTATTGTTGACTGGCAGGGCTGCTGCACCTCAGAGGAGGGTGCTTGAGTGCCTGACAGGCTGGGTGAGTTTGGTTACTAACATCCAGCTGGCAAATGCAAAAGTCCCTCTTACTAGTGACAGGTGGCAACAAGGAGACTCACAGCCCTCAGCACCCTGAGAAGGGTCACAATGTGCATCTATGTTGATCCACCTGTCATGTCCACACCGGAATGGCACCCTATAGCATAGTTCCCTGAATGAAAATAGACCTAAAACTCTGCCCATGAAATCATGGAACATGTGATCTTTGCTCTGTGAAGGCATGTAAAGAATCCAAGCACTGGAGGGTAGGGATTGGGTCCAGAGTGACCTAAACAAATTGGAGGATTGGGCCAAAAGAAATCTGAGGTTCAACAATGACAAGTGCAGAGTCCTGCACTTAGGAAGGAAGAATCCCAGGCACTGCTACAGGCTGGGGCCTGACTGGCTAAGCAGCAGTTCTGCAGAAAAGGACCTGGGAATTACTGTGGATGAGAAGCTGGATCAGAGTCAACAGTGTGCCCTTGTTGCCAAGAAGGCTAACGGCATATGGTGCTGCATTAGGGCGTTGCCAGCAGATTGAGAGAAGTGATTATTTCCCTTCTATTTGGCACAGGTGAGGCCACATCGGGAGTATTGCATCCAACTTTTGGGCCCCCCATTACAGAAGGCATGTGGACAAATTGGAGAGATTCCAGCAGAGGACAACAAAAATGATTATGGGGCTGGGGCACATGATTTATGAGGAGAGGCTGAGGGAACTGGGCTTGTTTAGTCTGCAGAAGAAAAGAGTGAGGGGAGATTTGATAGCAGCCTTCAACTACCTGAAGGGGGGTTCCAAAGAGGATGGAGCTCGGCTGTTCTCGGTGGCAGATGACAGAACAAGAAGTAATGGTTTCAAGTTGCAGTGGGGGAGGTCTAGGTTGGATATTAGGAAACACTATTTCACTAGGAGGGTGGTGAAACACTGGAATGGTGGTGGAATCTCCATCCTTAGAGGTTTTTAAGACCTGGCTTGACAAAGCCCTGGCTGGGATGATTTAGTTGGGGTTGGTCCTGCCTTGAGTGGGGAGCTGGACTAGATGACCTCCTGAGGTCTCTTCCAACCCTAATCTTCTAGGACTATAGGCCACTGGATGCTCTGGAAACAGGAGGGCTCTGAATGTAACACCTAACAACCATGGCCTGTGTGGGGTTGTAGCTCCATGGTAGAGCACATTTTTTCATATATAAGGCCCTGGATTGAATCCCCATCATCTCCAGGTTCTCCTTTTGCCCTTCTGCTTTGCTCATGCCCAGTTTTTCTCTTTGACTCCCAGCCCCTCCTACTCTAACCTACTAAGCCCTTCTCTCCTCCCACAGCCAGGAATACAACCCAGGAGTCCTGGCTCCCAGACCCCCACTCTAACCCACTAGACCCCACTCCCTGTGACAAAGAAGAAGCTCAGAGACCCCTGTGCTGTTCCCTCACCTCCCTGCCTGTGTTGCACTTGAAACCGAATGGGGTTTCCCTGGGCAGTTTGAATCTTGCTCCCAGGAAGGGTGTAATTTGAGGTGCAGGTTCCAAATAGTGCAGTTAACCAGCCAGAAGGGGCAGCAGGTATCGGTGTAGGAGCCATTGAAATAATCATAGCAACGTACTTCAGGGAAACCTTTATTAATGATGTGTCAGTGAAAGGTCAGAATCTGATAGTGTCAGTGTCACAGTAGAGGGCGCTGTGATGGTTTTAAATTTGTCATCCAAACCTAGCCACCACTTCGCAGATGTTTTAACCTCTTCTTCTCTTACCATTGCTCATTATCAGAAAAGGGGAGTGAGACCTAGTGACTGAAGGAAACATTTCTTTGCTCCTTGCTTGGCTCTGTCAGTCATTTGGGAAACAAACTCACCCACCACCCAATTTCTCTCCTGGCTTTAATGGGCAGAAAGAGCTCAGCTGTCAGTGGGACTTGGGGAGCTCGGGACATTACTGGGAGTTGGGACCCCAGACTCATTCCCCATCCAGCTCCACCCCATCCTGTGCACTCCAAACCTTCACCTGTATGATTCCTGCTGCAGCTCAAATGCCCCAAGACCTGCCCCCATTCCCTCTCCCTCTCCTGCATTCCCATCTGGACCCATGATGCCCCTCACACACTTTCTGAGAACAGAAGAATGGCCATCCTGGGTCAGACCAATGGGGCTAGTGGGGGTTGTCCTGTGGCTCAGGACTCCAGGTAGTAGGGGCCAGTACTCGTGACACAGAGTGCTGTAGATGCTGGGGTCCGTGCCTCTGGTGCTCTGGGCGCTGGGGGCTACGATGCCTGCCCGGCACTCATGGTGTGGGAGCCAGTGCTCTGGGCACTGGAGCCACAGGGAGCTGCACTACCCACCCACCCGGCACTCCGGGTGCTGGGGTCACTGGGGGCCATGCCACCTGCCTACCTAGCATTTCCTCTAATTTGTGAGAGTGGATCTCAAATTGCTCATATTTGCATCCTTTTCTTTTTAATCATTAATCACAGCTATCAAATTTCAGATTTTGCTCTTTCCTGTATAATTATCATATATTGATTTTTTTTTAAAATCTTTTCAGGTTTGAGGTGTTCCCTCGGTTTTTAATTACAGCCCTTCTTTTCTGGAGGGAATCCATGCTAATTAGGCCTCGGCTGAAGTATTATGTCCTGTTCTGCACACCACATTTCAGGAAAGATGTGGACAAATTGGAGAAAGTCTAGAGAAGAGCAACAAAAATGATTAAAGGTCTACAAAATGTGAACTATGAGGAAAGATTGAAAAAAAAATGGGTGTGTTTAGTCTGGAGAAGAGATCACTGAGAGGGGACATGATAGTTTTCAAGTACATAAAAGGTTGTTACAAGGAGGAAGGAGACACATTATCCTTAAACTGAGGATAGGCAAGAAGCAATGGGTTTAAATTGCAGCAAGGGTGGTTTAGGTTGGACATTAGGAAAAACTTCCTAACTGTCAGGGTGTTTAAGCACTGGAGTAAATTTCTCAGGAGGTTGTGGAATCTCTGTCCGTGGAGGTTTTTAAGAGCAGGTTAGACAAACACCAGTCAAGGATGTCAAGTATCAGAGGGGTAGCCGTGTTAGTCTGAATCTGTAAAAAGCAACAGAGGGTCCTGTGGCACCTTTGAGACTAACAGAAGTATAGGGAGCATAAGCTTTCGTGGGTAAGAACCTCACTTCTTCAGATGCAAGTCTGCAAGTTCT